CAGGAAGTTTCTCCTTAGTTCTAGGTTGCTTCTCTCTTTGGTTAGTTTCCACCCGTTGCTTCTTGTCCTGCCTTCAGGTGCTTTGGAGAATAGCCTGACTCCCTCTTCTTTGTGGCAGCCCCTGAGATATTGGAACACTGCTATCATGTCCCCCCTCGTCCTTCTCTTCGTTAAACTAGACATACCCAATTCCAGCAACCGTTCTTTATATGTTTTAGCCTCCAGTCCCCTAATCGTCTTTGTTGTTCTTTTGTGCACTCTTTCTAGAGTCTCAACATCTTTTTTACATTGTGCCGACCAAAACTGGATGCAGTATTCCAAGTGTGGCCTTACCAAGGCATTGTAAAGTGGTATTAACACTTCATGTGATCTTGATTCTATCCCTCTGTTAATGCAGCCCAGCACTGAGTTGGCTTTTTTGGCAGCTGCAGCACACTGCTGGCTCATATTTAAATGATTGTCCACTAGGACTCCGAGGTCCCTCTCACAGTTACTACTATTGAGCAAGGTGATCAGTTTTGGGGTTGTTTTTTTGCATTCTTAGATCAATGTTTCACAAACCTACAAACTGTAGTAATGATCATTACCCTGTGGGTAAAATGGAAGAGTCCTGTTCAGTGATGGCACCACATTTATGGAACTCAGTTTTAGTAGGAAAATGCAGGGCTCCATCCCCACATTGAGCTTTTAAAGCTTCCCGATATTCATTTTGATCCTGCCTTTGTTAGTTTTTATAAAAACTCAAGCAACAACATTTCTAATAGTTCCTCTTCCTATTGTTTCCCCACAACAACCCTGTGGGGTGGGTTGGACTGAGAAAGAGTGACTGGCCTAAGGTCACCCAGCTGGGTTTCATGCCTAAAGTGGGACTAGAATTCACAAACTCCTGGTTTCTAGCCTAAGTGTATGATAGCATATATTTAGTATGTCTTTTATCTATTGTAAACATAATGCAATATTTTATTTTTTTAACAAACCATAGTTTGAGTGATTAGCCCATTCTGAATTATTTTTCTTAATACTGTAATGTTTTATGCTTTTAAAAATTCATAGTTGATTATTTATTGCAAAAAGATACACAGGGAGCTGTCTTGGGAGGTTTTATTCTAAATGGGAGTCTACAAATCTTTTAAATAGATAAATAATTACAGGCTAGGAGAGAGGTAGCCAAAACAGTCTTTATAAAAGGAAACAACTTTGGAGAGTTAAGCTTTTATTGTTGTTGTTGTTCAATGCAGCAGATATTTCAAGGACATTTTAATCTGCAACTCCTTATTGTTGGAAATATAAAGGGAAAAATAATATCATCCAGCCTCTAGCAAGCATGTTATTTGGACACAAAATAAAAGAAATCAAATACAAGGGAATGGAAGCATCAACCAGAACACCTGGGATAGAATCAAGATCACGTGAAGTGTTAATACCACTTTACAATGTCTTGGTAAGGCCACACTTGGAATACTGCATCCAGTTTTGGTCACCACAATGTAAAAAAGATGTTGAGACTCTGGAAAGAGTACAGAGAAGAGCAACAAAGATGATTAGGGGACTGGAGGCTAAAGCATATAAGGAACGGCTGCTGGAATTGGATATGTCTAGTTTAATGAAGAGAAGGACGAGGAGGGACATGATAGCAGTGTTCCAATATCTCTCAGGGGCTGCCACAAAGAAGAGGGAGTCAAGTTATTCTCCAAAGCGCCTGAAGGCAGGAGAAGAAGCAAGGGATGGAAACTAAGCAAGGAGAGAAGCAACCTAGAACTAAGGAGAAACTTCCTGACAGTTAGAACAATTAACCAGTGGAACAACCTGCCTCCAGAAGCGGTGAATGCTCCAACACTGGAAGTTTTTAAGAAGAGACTGGACAGCCATTTGTCCGAAATGGTATAGGGTTTCCTGCCTGAGCAGGGGGTTGGACTAGATGACCTCCAAGGTCCCTTCCAACTTTTTTTTTTATTATTATTATTATTATTACTATTACTATTACTATTACTATTACTACTATTACTACTACTACTACTACTACTACTATTATTATTATTATTATTATTATTATTATTATTATTATCTTCCCTGAGTAAAAAAGAATGGGAGCTGTATCATTATACAGCAAGAAGAATGGTAAGTGGCATTTCCATGACATGGACACGACCTTTTAAACTTAGACCAGTGTTTCTCAACCTTGACAATTTTAAGGCATGTGGACTTCAACTCCCAGAATTCCACAGCCAGCAATGCTGGCTGTGGAATTCTGGGAGTTGAAGTCTACATGTCTTAAAATTGTCAAGGTTGAGAAACATTGACTTAGACAGTGACTTTGGCTTATTTATTTGCAAATTTTCCCAAAAGACTATGAGGAGGTTGGTAAGAACCACTGAAAATTAATTTAATCACTTATCTTCAGGGGAGGGTGGGAGAGAGAAAAATACTGATACACACCGGTAGTTCTTGACTTAACATCCATGATCAAGTCCAAATTTTCTGTTGAGTGAGTTTTGCCTCATTTTACAATCTTTCTTGCCACAGTTGTTAAGTAAATCACCTCAGTTGTTAAATGAATAACATGGTTGTTAAGTGAATCTGGCTTCCCCACTGACTTTGCTTGTCAGGTCACACAGGACGATCACATGACTCCGGGACACTGCAGCCGTCATAAATATGAACCCAGTTGCCAAGCGTCCGAATTTTGATGATGTGACCATGGAGATGCCGCAATGGCAGTAAGTGTGAAAACTGGTCGTAAGTCACTTTTTTTCAATGCCGTCATAACCTCAAACGGTCACTAAACAAATCAAAGATTACTTGTAACTTCTATCACCTCACATTATTTACAGGTAGTCCTTGACTTATGACCGATCACTTAGTGTCCATTCAAAGGGGGGGGGGAAGGGGACTTATGACTCAGATTCGAAGTTACGATGATCCACCATCACATGACCCAACTTCAGGAGCCTAGCAACACAGCTGCATTTATGGCTGTTTGCAGCATCCCATGGTTATATGACCCATGTTTTACCACAGCCCTGCCAAATAACAGGCACTTATTTCCAGTTTTCAGCAAAACGACGCCTATAATAAACCGGTGGTTTGCTTAACGACCGCAGCATTCACTTAACAAAAAAAAATCATAAAATTGGGTCATGTGACCAACCCGTTTTTAAGACTGTCACGACATAATGACCATTATGGGCAGGCTCCATTATGGTTGTACATCAAGGACTACCTGTATACCTGTATGATGGAACTCAGACCAGAGAATTGCTGACAATTCCCTTATGTAGTTTCAAAAAGAACATAAGCTTCAATGGACTTAGGTCTCCTACGGGGGCGAAGGGACTCTAACCTAAGCTAAGCAAAATTAGGTCTGGCAAGTGGATGGAAGATGATCAGAAAATCTAAGAATTGTCAACCAGGCTGGGAAGTCCTAAAAACTTATTGAAAAAGGTAACAACAATTCACTTTTATAATGCTGCTAAGAAAACTACACAGATGCATCTACGATGCATGAGATGACCACAGGAGCATGCAGGGGTTACCATGGGGTGACTTCAGTTTGAAAAAGAGTTCACTTTCTTTTGCTTATCTGAGGTCAAATAAAAAACACAAGATAAATTCTGGTTTAAAATGGCATAATTTTGAATTACTCTTGCCAAATCTTGCATATTAGGAATTTTCATGCGTTCCTTTCTTATGGGGGTGCGGTCCTGCTTGTCTTTTCAAAATGTTCTATCATTGAGGCAGGGTTGCAGTACATTTCTTTGGTGGCTTTGGAAACGGCAAGGTTTACGCTAGCAAGCCATGGCTCAACACCAAGTATTTTTAACCTAGATTGAAAGAAAACCAAACAAGGCCATCCTTGGCTAGTCCCTGAATGGAGGACTAGCAGGATATCACAAGCTGTAGGCTAGACTGAGTAGTT